AGGTCATTTCACCTTTGAAATGACCCAATGACTGGTCATTTGTCATTTGGGTCATTTCAGGTCATTTACCATCACTGATGTAAGATTATAACTTTTGTAACACAACCCTACCTATGCTGTGAGTAATTCAATGCGAATTGACTCAGCTAGGTTCAAGTTGATCGGAATAAATTAACTATATATGATTTTAATTCATTTAGATTTGAATACATAACCGCAAGCAATTTACTAATCCGAATATTATAGATCCGAATTGAATTTGTATCTATAAGTCAGCTAATCATATTCATAAAATTATAGTTAGGATATTAATTTCATGTAGATTAGCCTTAGGCATCGAAGTCGGGTATTACTTTGAATGATTTTGTAAGTACATTCTTAGCAATATTAATACGTTTACAAATCAAGTTACGGGTTCTTTGTAAAATGGTATTTTTCGTTTTATCAGATATAACTTGAACTAAAGAATGGATCTTACAGATCTTAAACCGACAACATATCGATCACCTCTGACTTATTAATGCTATTGTACATTTTAGAGTAATAGCTTAATTACTTAATTTATTCATAATTTGTCTTACATTTTTTCTTATTCATAAAAAACTTTGATTCTTGTAATTTTTCATCACAAAAATTATATAAATATCGTTTAAATTCCTCCGTCGTATTAATTGATCCATAATATATTTTGAAATATGTGTCCTGCAGTATTGAAAGCCAATCTTCCAATTCTTGTTTAGGACTTTTTCTTTTAGTATTTGAACTTGATGTGTACTGTATATAAAATTCCTCCGTTGTTGGTAATGGTAATGAAATTTGTGTTATCTCTATACCAAATAAAAGGGGCAAATAATGTTCAAATACTATGCTTAAAATATCATTATTTTTACATTGTGATAGTTTTTCTAAATGTAAAGGACGGAAAAAGTTCTTAACGTTACAGTATACAAAAAGTATATCACATGTAGACTTAAATAAAAATTGATACATTTCGTTATCGGGATTTTGTTGAATTTGTATATCTAAATTAACAAAGGTGTCTAATATTTCTTCAAAACATCGTGTTGTTAATCTCGAATCAGATCCAAATTTCATTAGATTCCAGTAATAGAATTTTGGAGTAAATATTAATGATCTTACTGAAGGATTTAAGTCATTTGATTTTTTATTCTCTTCTGTGTAATAATCGAATACTTTGTTAAATGAAATCTCCGGATTATGCAGATTATGCAGATTTGCATATAAAAATTCCCAAATATCAGGATCATTTAAATTTCGAGAAGTTTTTAATAACTCTATTAAGCATTCCTCCAAAAATCTAGTTCGAGATTCTTTCTTTACAATTATAAACGCATCAATTAAGATTTTTCCAATGTTCTTAAGGCGCCTTTCAAAAAGTATTAAAATGTCTCCAATAACTGCATAGCTCAATTGAAAACCAAGGTCTATTAATTCCTGAATACGTTCACTTACAATATTAACATCTGGTTGAACCCATTTTGCAGAAGGATTGGGTGGAAATAGAATAAGGAGCGCCCCTTGCATTACAAGATCATTCACATCATCACAAATTTCACAATACCCTATCTCCATCCAAAGCTTAACTAAGTCTTTTTCAATTAAAATAGCACGAGCGATCACATTAAGTTGTCTATTATTTTCATATCCGTCTTTTGGTGGGTATCTCTCGGGTGGATTTGTTAATGTATTATTAGTACCATCTATTTGGTTGAATTTCGGCCTAGGAGGGAATGGAATGAACTTCATTCCAAGAATCAAATTTTTTATCAAAGACATATTTTTACATAAAATATCCATCGCTTGATCTATCGTATATGGACCACCTGTCAAAAAGTGAAACAATTCCATGTCGTTTCCTTTTGTACAAATTTCAGAACCCAATCGAGTCGTCGCTTCTGTTAGCAAATAAGTAAAAACTGATAGTTGTAAATCGCTTGCCCAGGGAGGTCTAATTTTTTTCTGATACGTTCTAATACGTTCAACTTCAATTGGACCAACATTGTGAACTATTTTTAATTCAAAAAGTCTCTGATCATAATTTCCAAAGTGCATTAAAAGTCTTTGTATAAAATATCTCGATAGTACTCCTTTTTTTGCGATTATTTCCTGGGCTGTTGGAACGTCAAGAAAGCCAGGACCTAGACGAACAGCTTGAAAAATTGCATGCGCTCTCCCGTATTTAGTAATAATCCATGTAGCTTTAATATCACTTTTTTTGGAGATTTCCCATATTTTTTTGCACGTCAATGAGAAATTTAGTGGAGATTCAATGTATTTAAATGTTTCCGCAGTTATTTTGTCAATTGAAAAAATATTTTTAAAAGTTGCTGAGTGGTCCATTTCGAATTCTCTTGGTGATATTACGCTAAAAAAAATCAAAAAAAAAGTGGTGTTAATGTGAGCTGCTATAGAAAAGGGGTTGTCATAAAATGCCACAATAACAATCATCATATTAACAAAATTGTCACGGCAGATTCACGTTTTTGATTGGTCAACGGCCGTGATCTGCAAAATTTTGGCCCTAATTACAAAAAATAGAAATTTTTGAAAAATAAACCCACACTATGGTAAATTGGCTCAGAAACAATTTTCTCTTAATAGGCGGCTGCGATTTCATTAGTAAAATTTCGAGTAATTCTAGACTAATTTTTTTGATCGCTCTTAGCCAATCAAAATCAAGAATCTGCCGTGACAATTTGTTGGTGTAGATCGTGCTGCGGAAACCAGTGCTGGCACATCACCTGGTCATGTGCCAACACTGGCGGAAACCGCAGAAGCTTCGTCCCATGTGACACAGATCAGTCCGATAAGGCTACAATAAATGGTGATTGTCTTTATACCTTTACCGACTATATATGGACATTAAATGTCGGGGTACAATTTACTTAAACCATCCAACTTTAATTTAAAAACCGATTACGCATTAAGGTCACCTTATTGGCCAATTTACTACTGTATAGTTCCAAAAATAAGCACCCTTGGCCCGCACTATGCCAATTTTGGGCCGCATTATAATGATCTCGGCCAGCATTACAAGCAAAAAAGGGGTGCTTATTTTCGGAACTATACGGTATATATCATTATAATGGCATTTTATAAAGACTGGCTGCTTTTAGTACATAAGTACGTACCTGAAAAATGTGTTTTCAAGTATTAAAAACAAAAAGTAAACCGAAATAATATGATTCAATATTCTCTTTTAAAAAGGTGTTGAGGCTTTTAGGTGCCAGACAAAAAAATTCTTGAAGCCTTTTATATAATTTACTCAAATACAGAAATATCAATATTATCCGATGTATTACGCCATGATTATACGTACCTATTTAAACAACTTAATTAGGAAACGTATGAAAGAGTTGTCGTACCAAAATAATGTTGATATAGAGTCCTTATTTATTACTTAATATGCTCATTCAAAGAATACTAAAAATGGCATTTTGATTTACAAAATCAAGATATATAAATAAAAATAAAATAATAACATAAATAGTTATTAAAATAAGGTTAAATTAACGATTAGGGAAATATGAATAGTTATTAACGTTAATCAGTTTTTTTCATTCTAATTACTATATTTAAAAAAAAATACTAGCCCGTTAGACGTTTATTATTTGCGCCTAACTTTTTTTCAGAAGTCTATATTTTGCAAACGCTTCTTTTATAGAGTACGTACGTACGTGCAATACAGTTTGACAAACCATAATGGAGAATACTAAAACTGTTTATACCTGAACCAGTCCAGAAAACCTGACTCGGAATTTTGATATTTTGGCGGGTCCGTCTTTACTAAACTGCCGCGATGTCTTCGACAATATTGCACAGTTCTATTTATATTGCTTTTCTCGACGGTTAAGATATTTACTCATTTCTTTTAAAGCCGGAGCTTTTCTTCCTTTTTTTCCGTAGCTTACGTCCAGTACAACGTATGTACGTACGTACATACGCACATACGTACTGTACAAACTGTACATACGTAATCGGTGTGTTTTTTTATAAAATATCCTAAGCGGGATGTCAACGATAAATGAACTTAAATTTTAAATTGCCTAGATGATTCCATACATATATTCTTTAAGCGATTCAAATTTGCAGTTCTTTCATAAAGTACTTGTTAAAGCTGTACAAATCCTAATATAAGTTACATTATTTATTTTGTGCTTAGTTACCTTTGTTTTCAAAGAAACTTATAATAACGCTTCAGCTCCAATTATATTACAATAACAATATCCAACATTATATGTTATTGGAAGAAGAAACTATAATGATAATGTATATATCCTGAAAAAAAAGGTTTACCCTAACTCCGAAGTAACACGCAGATTTAACGTTACAAGGGCGTTTCTTGCTCGTGCGCAAGGAGTTAAACATTACTTAAACTTTACACAATCAATTTATTTTTATGGAAATATTTATAAGCTTACGTATGTATTGTATTGTATTTAGAAACAATGAATAAGCTCAGATCGGTTTCAAAGTCAGCTGTCATGCGTTTTTCCATTTTAGCTTTTTCTTGTTTGGATCTGCAAACTTTTGCGGTGAAAGGTGTGAGAGCACATGAGTTAGGCATTTTGAATCGTATGCATATATCGTGCAGATAGTACAGAGTGCCCAGTTATTTCTGGCGGTTGAAATAACACTAGTGATATCAGGAAACAATTAAAATAACAATTTAGTCGAATTTGGTAATATCATTGCGCTATTTTAATTGCTAAAAATAGCTGGACATTCTGTCAAAGAATTCGGAAAATAAGAAAATGTGTGGTTATGACACTTTCCATGTTATTTTTTTCGAAAAAACTGCAAACCACAATGCCATAATGTGAAATACTGCGTGCTGTAAAAATAAAATATTTGGAAGGAGTGCAATGGAAGTGACGTAATAAAAAATTAGGAGGGTACAATGATAGATTTAGAAGAGGGTTTAATAAGAAGAGGCACAATGAAGGATTGAGAAGGGAATGTATTAATAGATTGTGAAAAAGTTAACGAGAAAGGACAAATGGAAGATTAAGAGGATGTACAAAAGATTGAAAAGGTACAGTACTATAGAAGGTTTGGAGTCAATTATTTATTTACAAGAAACTGGTCTATTTCAAATATCGGAACATTAAGATTAATAAATGTTTCAATGTGTAATGCTATCATGGAGTTAGGTGTAAAATTCCGTAATTTTTCCGTAATTTTTTATCAAAATAAGTTATATTTATAAAAAAAATTTAATGATATCCCAACACTATTTAATCAAATTCGGTGAAATATAAATAAACCTTTTCATTCAGATCGAAACTCACAAAATCTAAAAAGTACTACGTAAAAATATAATCGAAGTCTACAAAGCATGTGAAAATACCAATCCTTAATTATTTTTCTATATAGTTATAATGTACTATGCGAATTTAAATATAGATTTTTACTTTAATAAAATATTTACATGAAAATCTCGTATAATTATATACACAGTAGCCAAATTGAAGGTAACGTTAATAAGCATTACATAATGAAACGGCATTCAAGATTTATGTCGTAACGTCATAATGCCGTAATTCATTAATTATGACGACAACTACAGATGAATTAGAATGAATGAGTGATATGAAACAAATAAATATATGAAGTATATAAGTTAGGAAACTTGTAACGATTATATAAATTCTGGCAAGTGATTAAATCGCTAGATATGACTATACATACCACACGTGCGTATATGTTTTGGAAGTCGCAATAAATGCGGTAATTCCACAACGTGCTTTAGTCTTATCACACTATTGTAAAAGGAAGATCACTAATGTCATGCGAGTAATTAGAATTACTAATACCAAAATACTAGCCCCACAGTAAAGCAAAATCGATTTAGTTAGCGTCGACGAATAAACGACTCTCAAAAGTTATTCCTCCAACGATCGTGAACCTTAAATGAAGGCGACACCTACCGGTAAGTGGGAAAATTTTGAATAAGAGTTAAAGCCTATTTATATTCAAGCAATAATGTGAATCGTATTAGTATTAATTGTACACACGTTTAACAAAATTAAAATTAATATCGATATAAATTATAATATACTGTATTAACACACCTCAATACGGTTAGAAAATAGATTGTTATGTATTAAATTATACTAAAACTATTAACAGCTCACCGCTGTTTATGACATAGTTATTCGTACAGTATAAATATCAAAAGCTAATGCACGTGATTTGCAACCTCTATCTTCGAGATTAGGGTTCGGTTACAAACGTCATGATTATTCATAATTTGCTAATATTTGGACTATTTTTCATTTGAGATTTGAATTAAAGTTGATTGGAATTAAACTTTGTTCATCCCATCTTCATAAATGGAACTCAAAATTTCAATTTCAAAATTTGTCAACGTCATAACCGGTTAATAACCGGCGGCTAATAACTGGTTATAACGTTAACCAATTTTGAAATTCTGAGTTCAGAGAAGGTATCGCTCTTTCCACTTATAAATATGGGATGAACAAAGTTTAATTCCAATCAACTTTAATTAAAAGCTCAAAAATGAAAAATAGTCTAAATATTTAGCAAATTATGAACAATCATGACCGTTTGTAACCGAATCCATCCCTATTCGTGATTCTGGCCAGCCAGCATAACACAGTCACGAGTAATCCTTATGCATCAAGATCTTCCTTAAGCTTCCTATTATAAATGATAAATTTGATGATGTTAATTATATATTCTGCACATTTCATTGCAAGCTATGATTTGTGGACCTTGTGCATGAACCTAATAGTTCTTGCCATTCTTGTATATAATTAATTTTTACCTCAAATTATGCCTCAATTTCTACCTTGCAAATTTTTAAACTGATTTGATCTTTTAAATCTTGTCTGGCCTCGTTCATACTCGCCTTTTGCTATTACATATATATTTAAAAAAAAAAACTAGTTAATTGAATCGATTCAATTTCAGACTTTGAAAGGAAATCCAATTCGAAACAGGCAATTTCACAATGATAATGAGAATGACCATGACCATCATATTTGCGCGAGGTAACGCTCCAAGGCGTTATTTGAGACACTTTCAAAAAAGTACTACAATAATTTTATTTTTTAAAAAAGTTTTTTTCGCCAAAATTAGTATTTCTTTTTAACCTAGTGTCCTGAAATAACGCTTCGGGCATCATTCCGCGCAAATACGTACAATGCGGTACTTCACCTGACTACATAATTAAGCACGAACAATTTGATTAATCCATAAACATGTTCATTGTCTTTCTATATTGTTTTTACTCTTCTTTCAAGCCAATTAACTATAATAATTTTCATGCACATAAATACACACGCATTTAAAAATATTTTTAAATTTTTAAAAACGCCAAAAAAACTATTTGTCATTGTTAGAGGTGATGCAAAAGATTATTTTTTGATGCAAAGTATAAATATTATGGAAATCACATCAGAAACGTAATTTATTGTTTTATTATTACCTAACAAAGTTTGGGTCATAAGATCAATATGTATTAAATATTGATTAATAAAGAAAGTAGAAAAAAATTTTTTTTCTGTTACATGATACATATTTCTATATTTATTGAATCATTAAGCTAGTAAGATCATGTGCGTAGTACGTATGCACATACATGCACGCATATCATTGGTCAGTCGCAAAGGTGAACCTACAGCCAAGCCTCTTTACAATCAACACTTGAGATACAAAAGGTGCGATTGTAGAGAAGTGTGACAATTATAGAGGTCAAATTATTATATTTAATAATAGTTTGCTCTTTAAAAAAAAAGTTCAAAAAAAAAAAAAAAGTTCTTATAAAGAAATTAGGCGGTGACTATTTGGGGGTCTGATTGTATATTCTATTTGAATGTCAGCATTGATACTGGCTCTATTTTGGTGCAGTTTCACCTTTGCTATAACAGATCAGTTGGCTGAAATACTACTGCAAAATTATACAACATTGCAATATTGTTTTGGAATATTACTCAGCTATGGCGAAATATTCCATAACAAGCTTGATGTAACGGATAACAGTGTTTGCCGATGACTTAAATGACCTATGTGTATGACTTTATGATCTAGTCATAGGTCATTTTGTCATAACGAAGATTGATATGACTTTATGACATTTTAATATAGCAAGTATCATAGAAAAAAAAAACTTTTTTAGTAGCATTTAATATGAACAATATGACCTATAACCAAAAGTCATATGATTATATGATCAAGATCATACCAAAAAAATGATATGACTTAGATTATTGTCAACACTGACGGATAAACTAATTTATCAGTAGCGTGAGTAATTTTGATATTATAATTAGAGGTCTGATCCGGTCGAAAAATAAGTATTCTAATATTCATTCGTTCAATCATTTAATATCCGAATATTCATCAGTAAATTTCAAACGAATATTCACTGAATATTCATTTAATATTGATGATCATGAAATAGAGTTTTTGATTCGGAGCAATAACGAATTAAGTAATATTATGAAGTTGAATAATTGAGAGTTTAAATACACAAACTAACAAATGAATTTTATACTTAAAAGTTACGTTAAAATAAATTAATCGATAGAAAAAAACTTCTAGCTAATAAAGATTTATCTTGTTTATCCACTTTGGGCTCTGACATATGACAGCATTTAATTGTCGATTATATAATATATATTCATTGAATATTTAATGAATTATTTGTTATTCGAATATTCAATTCAATGAAACAATTATATATTCGGATATTCGAATATTCATTGAATATTCGAATATACCATTCATCGTATCAGACCTCTAATTATAATTGCATGATATGCATGCCAGTGCTAGAGCTCATCAGTTTGATTAGTCGCTCTAAATTATAACCTTGGTGTGCAGAAAAGCGGCATACCGAAAATGTGTACAAGATTGTGCTCTGGGTGATCATGTGATAGTCCCGATGGCCACAATTCAGGGACTCAAAAGAAAACAAAGTTTTTTTGCTAAAATCGAAAATTTTCACTATATTTTGCACAAAGAATAAATCACGCGAGAATGATATTATCGAATATATCATGTGATTAACATTCATAACGGATGCATTGCACCTACTTTTTTGATAATGATCGACCTGCAGATCTCAATAAAAATAAGAATTCTCAAAATTTTGAGCGAAGATATCTCGACAATCATCTGACTAAATTAGGTAAAACGTTTCTTATTTGAACTCTATTGATTCATAAAATTCAAATAAAAATTGAATTTTGTCAGATGGTTGTCAAGATTTCTTAGCTCAAAGTTAGAAAAAAATCAAACCGTCTATTCAAAATATAAGCCGAGTCAAATTTTTTCTCTAACTTTGAGCGAAGATATCTCGACAACCATCTGACCAAATTCGATAAATCTTTTTTATTGAATTCTATGAATCCATATAATTCAAATAAAAAGTTTTATTGAATTTGGTCAGATGGGATATATTCGCTCAAAATAAAAGCTACGCCAAATTTTTTCTCTAAAGATATCTCGATAACCATCTAACAAAATTAGATGAGTTTTTTTTTTTTTATTCGAATTCTATTGATTCATAGAATTCAAACAAAAAAATTTCCATCGAAT